AAACTGAAGACTAGAGGTTCCATAAAAGGGGAGGGGGCAGGAAGAAGATAAGAGGGGGATGTGTAAGGGACCCAAATCAAGTCAGTGGGAAACAGTGAAGGGAAAATCACTCTGATTGGAAGGAGAAAGCTGATAGGTCAAGTGAGGTGGCAAAGGATGGGATTGAAATAGGGAGGGAGAGAAAAAATCTCAATTCAGTGGTGGGAAGATGTTCCACTGAAGAACATTCCCATGGAGGAAGAAAGCTATAAAGATAGATAGATAGATAGATAGATAGATAGATAGATAGATAGATAGATAGATAGATAGACGAATGGATGGATAGATGGATGGATGGATGGATAGATGGATGGATGGATGGATAGATGGATGGATGGATGGATAGATGGATGGATGGATGGATGGATGGATGGATGGATGGATGGATGGATGGATGGATGGATGGATGGATATGGAGACCTTACAATGGATATAACCTGTAAGGCTTTGTTGCTTATAAACCATTGCATCTAAGACAATGCTGTGCATGTGTAAACAGTATGTTGTCTCAGGAGAAGGGGAATTAGAGCTCACAGGGGAAACTGACATCCAGAAGCATGGAAGGGTATGAAACCAAAGAGGAAATTTCATGGTAAATGGGGGAAAATATCACAAGAATGGCAAGGGTCAATAATGAATGCATAATCAGAAACACATGAAAATTTGTACCATAGGGGCAATACTTCTACCCTCTTGATTTCCTACAGGAATTGATATTTATAAGAATGAAATACTAAATATAAAAGGAAGAAGGGTAGACAACAAAATCTCTAAGTCAAGAACATGGAAACTTTATAAGAGGGAAATCAAAGTAGTTACCTTAGATGTCAATATGGACTATTCAATTTCATTTTTCTCAAAGGCATCTACTAATCTACCTGAAAACACAGTTTCCTGAAGCAAAAAGAGTACTGGATAGACAGTCAAAAGAACTGGGGTAAGTCTTAGCTCTGCTACTTATTGCCTGTGACCTTGGGCAAATACTCCACTGGTCTCAGTTTTGTAAGGGAGGTTTGACTAGTTGAGCTAAGGTCCCTTCTTAGTCTGAAATGCCCTCATTTAATGAAGATAAAGTGAAGTAGCATTTTAAACCAAATTAAAAAGGTACTCTTGCCTACAAAATTAGCAATCAATTCATTATGTACAAAAACTTAAGGACCTGATAGAAATGCATCTTTTACATCCATCAATTACATGCATCTCCCACAAAGTCCTTCTGTAATGCCTCACCCTCAATGAAAAAATACATAAGCATTTATTAAGTACAGATTCTGTGTATGTGGAGGCAGCTAGAAGGCCCAGTGAATAAAGTGCTAGGCCTGAACTCAGGAAGACCTGAGTTCAAATCTGGCTTCAGGAATTTACTGTCTGAACCTGAGCAAGTAATTTAACCTGTTTCCTTTAATTCACTGGAGAAGGAAATGGCAAAACACTCCAGCATCTTTGCCAAGAAAACATCATGGACCATGTTGGCATGCTATGGTCCATGGGGTCATGAAGAGTTAGACATGAAGACACAGAAGCTAACAGAAGTTAAGTGACTTATCAGGGATCACACAGCTAATGATTGTCTGTGGCTACATTTGAACTCAGGTCTTCTTGACTTCTGGCCCAATGCTGTGTCTACTACACTACCTGGCTGCCTTTGTATAATAGGTTATGATCTTCATGGTTGAAGTGAACATCTACATTGATGAAATAAAAGATCCGTGAAGCATCCAAGATAAATTTAAGTAAACGGTCTTTGGCCTTCTTTTATCTTTAAACAATTCTACTCAATCTTTTATTTATTTATTTATTTGTTTGTTTGTTTGTTTGTTTATGGTGAGGCAATCAGGGGTTAAGTGACTTGCCCAGGGTCACACAGCTATCATTCAATCTTCAAAAAGATGGAGCCCTCAGCTTGGAAATTTCTTGAGTTGACGTATACGTTTGAGTTGGTAACTTTGCTACTGTTTATTAGTATTATTATCTTTAGTTTTAGAAGTATTAAGAGCAGAGAAAGAAAATACTTGAAACTGGGCTAGGCTAGCAAAACAAAAGGGACATCTCCAAATGGTTTTTTATTCTTTAAAGAGGACTAGAAAGAGAAGAATGATAATTGAAAATTTTCAAAATATTCTATATACATTATTTTATCAGTACTCAAGGCCATCCTATAACTACTGGCATTAATTTTATTCCCCTCTTACAGATAAACAAACTAAGTTTCAGGGACATTAGTGATTTAACCTCCAGCTGACAGAAAAGGACAGATGTAGGAGCATTCAGTGGAAATTGAAAAAAGAGTTAAAGTTATGTTTAACATCAGGGAAAACAAACAAAGAAAACAAAACAAAAGCCTTTCCACAAATGAGAGCTATCCAAAGTGGATATCCAAAGGGGAAGCTAGGTGGCGCAGTTGATAGAGCACTGTGTTTGGAATCAGAAAGATTCATCTGTCATGAGTTCAAATCTGGTTTCAGATACTTACCAGCTGCCTGACCCAGGCAAGTCACTTAACTGTGTTTGCCTTAGTTTCCTCATCTGTCAAATGAGCTGGAGAAGGAAATGGCACACCACTCCAGTATCTTTGTTAAGAAAACCCCAAACGGGGTCACAAAGAGTCTGACATGACTGAAACAACTGAACAACGATAATCCAAAGTGGAATGGTTGATACCAAGAGGCAGTGGGTACCTCTTCACTAGAAGTCTCTAAGCAAGGCTGGATAACCACTTCTTTTGCTAGGGATTCCATTTAGTATGAGTTGAAGGAGAAAGCCACTGAGGTCCCTTTCTCCTAAAGTGCAGAAATGCTAGATGATGAGCCTGTGTCTTCCCCAAGTCATACATCTAATGATGTGTTAAAGGTGAGATTCAAACCCAAGTCCTCCTGACTTCAAGTCCAACACTCCTCCTACTGTGCTACAGCAGCTCATACTTGCTTTATAACTGGGGCCTGAAATTTTTAGCAATGTGAGATCCAGTCACAAGTTCTTGATGTGGTCTTCTCTTTAAGAGAGTGCCAACAGTTTCCAAATCAAAACTGAAAGAATTTTAATACTAGACTGAAAAAGGCACACCACATATGAGGTTTGCCAGCCTCTGATAAGCTATCATAGGCAGTATGGGGCACAGCAAATCCACTGTCCCTACTTAAAATAAATTAAGAGAGATACACATTTCAGTCAAGCAAATCAATGTACTGTACCACTTTAATTGATTGCAGATGCCATTGACTACAAATGCAGGCATGTAGCTAGATTCCATGGGAACCGAACCATGCAAATTAAAGCCCAATTAGATTCCGAACCCAATCAGTGCATGTGGAAAGAATTTACATGAGATTTGATCCACCCTTCATCCAGCCAATTTTTCAGTGCCCCAGCCTCCTACAACATTCTTCCTTATTATTCTCAGAACCCAGACTAACAAACTTCTTCCACTTTGACCCAATAACTTTGAGGAAGTACTAGGTTTTATGAAGGAAATAACTGTCCACTGGTTGGACTTCATTTATATTAGTAAAAAAAGTTGAATATTTTCCAAATCAGTCTGATACAGTGAGATACAGTCCAACTGTAGCCGTGAGAATAAGCAAACCCCAGAAGGTATATCTGTAAAGGAAACAAGTCGCCTTGGCTAAAACGGTAATGACTTCACAGCCTTGGGTGAAGAGAAGAGACCAGCCTTCTCATCCACATAATAACCCAAAAGGAATCTACCCAAGGCCACATAAATTCTATGTCCATGTGTGTTGGCTTTACATAAGGAAGTAATATTTTCCTTGTTGGGTTTTTCTTATATGCATAAAGATAGTAAAACCAACCAGCAGAAAAACAGAATTCAAAAAAAATAATAAATTTCACAAGATATGATGACATTTTTTTTTCCTTGGAGTTCCCTTAACTTTCTGGTTACAGGGGAAAGGGCTATAGCTTTCTGGCTACAGGGGAAAAGGCTATGGGAAAATGCACATTCTCTCCTTAAAGGCATGTCTGGAGAACTTTTTCATTTTCCTCATAGCTGAAGTTAAAATAGTTTTGAGTGAAAATCCTTTTAATGAGGTCTTAGGTTGGAATACCAGGGGAAGCATTATTTGAGCATTGGATTTTTAGTCTGAGGAACTGGACTTAAATAATGGTTATGCTACTTATTACTTGTGTGATGTTAGGCAATTAATTCATCCTACCTGGGTCTTGTGCAAAATGAGAATGTCAAATTAGATAATTGCTGAGGTTTCTTCCATTTCTAGATAATATTCCATTCAATCCTATTTACTTATTAATTTATTCATTTAAGCATGATCTATGATGTAGGATCCTGATCAAGGAGCTGGCATTCCAGTGGAGAAGACTACACACACACACACACACACACACACACCCTTATCTATCTATCTATCTATCTATCTATCTATCTATCTCTGAATATCTCAGCTATATTCAGAAAAGATGGAAGGTAACATTAGAAAATAAGGCATTAACTGCTGGAGCAACTGAGCAAGGCCTCCTATGGCAGATGGTTCTTGAGTTGACTCTTAAAGATAAGCAGAACTCTAAGAGGCAGAAGTGATAGAGAACATTCCAGTAGTGGAGTGATAGTACAAAAGAAATAAGACATGAGGCAAGTGCTGCACACGAGGGACAGCAAGTTGGCCACTGTGACTGATACTGAACACATTGTGGGCAGCAGGGAGCTATAGGTAAGAAGACAGGAAGCACAGGAAGAGGCCATATTGTCAAGAGCTTTAAATACCAAATAGAGGATTTTCCATTTGAACAAACAAATAAGAAAAGAGGCCTTGCTTCGCTGCTAGTGGTAATGGGTAAATTAAAGGAAAGATGTAAATACTGACCACAAGGAGATCTATTATCATAGCTTGATTAAACAAAGTAAAAAACAAACAAAAAAACACAAAACCAAAACATTTTAATGTTTTATGCATATAATTCAATATTTCAAGTGATTTAATCAGTGTGAATATTCCTTTCAACATGGAAGAGCACAATAATTCTATGCCTTCATGCATGCTCTTTTGAGTTGCCATTTCCAAAAGAAAAGCAAGATTACCACTTGATGGCCAATGCTCTGAAAGTGATATTGTTTGTTGTCCAAATGCAGCTGTAATTAGTCTTCGAATGACAGACACAGGCCATCGTTGGGTTGTTATGCAAAGTGTTTCCATTTTTGCAGGAGTTGCCAATGCTCCCATTCCACAGTCTCAACCTTTGAGATCCCTCTTCTTGATTATACCTGTGTGGGAATTCCATCTGAAGTGGGCAATATTATCTCATGGATGCCCTATGTAAATATGAAGAATTGAAAATGATCATTCAAAAACCAGTAAAAGACTAACAGGAAACAGGAAATTAGACACAGACATTTGGGAGGTACAGTGGATCAAAGACAGAAAGTGTGAATCAAGAGCTGACTACTGAAGAAAATGGGAGCCAATAGAAACTGACATGGATTAGAAAGATTTATGGAGAGAAAAGTTGGCAAGATTTTGGAACAGGAGTGTCAATGTAAACTCATGAATTGTACCTGGAATCCAATTTTCCTCATGGACCAGGGATTAAGAAAATAGCTTAGTGGGAAAGGAAGTAAAAGTGTGGAACTGAAAAATAAGCTTCAGGTTCTGTGAGGCAAATCTGTATTCCCCAATTTATGTATCCATTAATTGAGATAATTGTGGGAATTGAGTGAACCACACTGACTCCATCTTGTGATTCAATTTTGGATATAGCTCAGTTGTCTTTCTATTCAATTATGGATCTAGTCCAATTTCTGTCTTGTGAGAACAACTCATTGTGTTGTTAGAACCTGGCTCTGCATGACTGGGAAGTTAGACCACCTCTAACTATTGTGTAGAGACCCACAACTAAGGAGCTAGGTTATGCTGATCAGAAATCTGCTCAGATCTGAAGATTAATACATCATAATTCTCAAACAACCCATATGTCTTATCTGAAAATTGGCCCTGTATTGGTCAATCAGTTATTATTTCCATGTTCCTTTGATTGAACACAGGCACTGGTGGGGGGCAGGGAGACCTCTTTTTTTTCTGATTTCAGGGAATTGAATCTATTTGCTTTTCTCCTCCCAACTCAGAAAGCCCCTAATCTTTTCTCCAATTAGAAATCAGATTACCTAATTTTGCATCCTGGCTAACTGTTTTCTTTTAATTAGTTGGATTTATTTGATTAGTTGTTTTAATACATAAAAATTTCTCTCCTCCTATATTTGGAGTTAAGTGCCAAAGCTGAGGAGGCCTGGTTTGGATTTTTCATGCAATTGGCGTGCATTGCTTAATAAATCAGTATGCTCAGAAGCTCAAACATTTATTTCCTCAGTTATTTCAGATTGCATCCACCACATAGATAAAAGTCATTATGGTAGAAACCAAGGAGAGAAAGTTAAAAAATAATGCTATGCATGCCCTCAGGGAGCTTATATTTTCTTGGATCTACTAGAGATCATACTTCCCTGGCTCATTCCTGGAGATCCCTCATATTATAACAAATGAAGTTTTGTTTCTCGAATGAGAATATTTAGAGTGCTAATACAGTGCCTGGCACATAGTAAGCAGTCAACAAATGCTTATCCCATTGCATTCCACAGAATACTGGTTGCTGCTTTTGAAACTCAGGAAATTGTTGAGCAGCGTCAAAGTTGCAAATTAGAAGTTTTCGAAGGAAGGATGCGTCCATCCTTTCGTGTATTCAGCCCTGAGGAAAAAAACTTTTTCTTTGAAATGGATGGAACAGTTTGACTTTTGTTAGTAGTATGCAATGGAAAATATGACTTAGCTTCTCACGAGGAACAACATCAGAGTTAACTGTCTAGGATGCATGCGATCTATCAGACATGCTCTTGATTTTCTTCCCCACCCCTCCCCACTCTTCTAACATGAAGAACTGCTGCTAGCCCCACGCACGCGGTCAGACAGCATTCAGTCGTTGATGAACTTGGCCTGTATGAAGGGAATTGGGCTCCATTTTCCTATGCTCCCTGCCTAACTTGTGAGAATCTCTTCCCTGAAGATTTCCCCAAGAAAAAATTGCTTAAAACTTAAGTGTTGTCTCATGTCTAGGCCTGGGACAGGTATTTACTTCCTACATACAAAAGAAATGGTAAAAAGAAACAAAAAAACTTAACTAATCAGTAATTTCTAACCTGTAATTTGTGTTACACTATTCCTATAGTTTAAATACAAACATCAGAACATTAAAGTCATTTGTATAACCACCAATTCCCATGGTCACATTTCATTTCATTTATACACTGTCTGAACAACTCCAGTAACCCTCTACTGGTGGTATCATCTCCAGTTAAGAACCCTGCCCCCCTTTCCAATGGGCACCTTTACCCAATAGACCCTAAGGGTGGGGACACAAGGTCACCCCAACCTGAGCACATCCATCTCAAGAACAGGATTTGGAAAGGAATCTACTCAGGAAAGAAACCACAGAACACAAAAGGGACCCAGGGGCCCAGGTTCATGTTCACCTACTTGAAAGTCACTGTCCATGTGGGAGCAGCAGAAGGGTAGGGCGGAAGATGACAGATACCCCCCAATACTGACTCATTACTTCTAGTGACTGAGTCCAAGGAAAAGAGTGAGTTGAAAGCTCTCTTTTCTTTTTATTTCCTGCAGTAACTACACGCTTCATCCCCCGCTACCTGCTGTCACCACCACCTCTTATTGTTATGGGTGATGAGGACAACCCTGGGAATATGGAGTAGTATACCACATCATACCAAAGTGCTTATATTATCCCTAATTTACACTAAAGATTTGTCTCTAGAATTAGCTTCAAGATTTCAGTTCATGATCATTCCCTCCATAGGACATGGAAGTTGGGGGATTGTGGATGGGCATCAATTGACCATATAAATTTCATGAGTATAGCATCCCCTAAGGGAATGATCTCTTTCTGAAGATAGCTTAAGAGCTGAGCATCACTTAGTGACGTATTACCTGTGCTTTAAGGTGAGGGTGTGATTCTGTCCATGGGACCTAATTATAGTATTTGTTTGTGACTGTGACATTGCTGCTCAGGTCCAAGGCCAAGGGTTGGGAAATGGAAAGCTTTTGCCAGGCCTTTCTAGGATATACATTAAGTCTCAATTGCTATACTAAGATCTAGATGACTATCCCAAGGATGGTGGACAAAGTAAGAATTCAACCAGATAGAATCAGGAAAACAAAACTAAAGGAAGTGTAAGTCCAAAAAAAAAGGGTTTTTTTCCTTTTTTTTTTTTGGCAATTGGGGTTAAGTGACTTGCCCAGGGTCACACAGCTAGTAAGTGTCAAGTGTTTGGTCTGAGGGCAGATTTTAACTCAGGTCCTCCTGACTTCTTCAGGGCCAGTGCTCTATCCACTGTGTCACCTAGCTGTCCCCCAAAAAGTTATAAGCTAGAGAAGGGAGAGATTCCAGAGACCAGGCCAAAGTCATGTAGTCCTTATTTTGACAATTGCCCAAGCAACTGCAGGGCTGATCCAATACTTGCTTGTGGAGATTAAAGCAGTTACTGGGGGATATTGGTCTTATTTTGTAAGAATCTTCTCATTCCCGTGGGCTGTTATCGAGCCCCTGCTCAAATGAAACCCGCAAAATAGTTGAAAATTTACCTATTTTTCAAGATCCAATTTAAATGTCATATCCTCTGTGAAGCCGTCCCGTATCTCTACGGTCAGAGGAGGTAGCTATGATGAGGAAGTTCTGAGTTTAAATCCATCTGCAGACCATTTGTAGGTATGTGACTATAAGCAAGTTGCTTAACCTCTGTCTGCCTCAGTTTCTTCAAGTGTAAAAAAGGGAACAATAATAGTACCAATAATAGCACCTCTCTTCACCCAAGTGACACTGGTCTCCTTGCTGTTTCTTGACCAAGATACTCCAGCTCTTCGTTCCAAGCATTTTCTCTGGCTGCACCACATGCTATCTCCAGTCATCCTGATCTCTATCTTGCCACTGGACCCAGAAAGTGAGGCTGGTGACTTTCCGCAGCCCTCCCTCACTTTGAGCCAATTCACTTGTGTGTTATGGCATCACTTCCCTGATGTCATGGTCCTCTTCCAGAATGAAGGACAAGTAACGAGAACAACAACAACAATGCACAGGCCTGGAAGGTTCTCACTCCTCATCTCTGCCTCCTAGCTTCCTTCCAGTTCCACCTCAAATCCTATCTTCCCCAGGAACTCTTCCCTAATCTCCATGAATTCTTCTGCCTTGCCTCATTGACTCAATCCAATGCATCCTCTGTATCTTGTTTATATGTAGAGATTTTCTTGTGGAGACAAAATTTAGATGGGGAATTCTTTGAGAACAGGTCCTATCTTGTGCTTTGCTCCTGTTTAGGACTGTCCTTGGCATACAGTGGGCTGTTAATAACTGCTTCTTTCCTTCCTTCCCTTCTACTAGCAGTTTTTCTTTAGTTTTCTTCAGGACTTTTTTGTATGGACCAACTGGACCAACATCAATACCAGCAAACACAAACATTTCAAAATCTAAATATCCAGGAAAAAAAAAAAAGACCAAGGATCATGTGTCCCCTTTGTAGCATCCTGGTCAAAGCACTCTGGGTTTCCACATACTCTCCACCCTCACAGAGCATTGTAGGTGGGCCATCCTTGGGCAGAGTCTCTGGGAGGTTTGCTAATCTTTCTACCTGAGTTTTCACAATTGTCCCTGGGGGCTCCTCTCTTCCAGCACCCACAAACTTCTGCCTATATTTTATGCAGCCCTGGGGTGAATAAAGGAGGTTATTCTGATTTCATTCTTTTGGTCAATATTCCATCTAGTGCCCCCTTTTAGGTACTTGCTGAAATATATGTGGGTAAGCTAGACACCTATATGACTTTTCATAGTGCTATCTTAACCAAAAGCAAGGAATTGCATTTTTGGGGATAACATAACATAACTACCCATCCTCTGAACCAGTTAAAGTCTGTGTTTCCTAAATCTAGGGTATTGTATTTATCTTTCCTTCACCTCACTAGGAGTTCTAAAATGTAGGTGCTATTTCATGTAAAACTCTCTATCATTTCCACCCCTCCCCCATCAACCAATTCCTTCTTATAAGTGAGAATTAGGCACAGAACTGTGTACAAGAATTAGGTAGAAATTGTCATTCCTGATGTTTTGAAGGATGTCTTATTATTTTCAAATGTAATTATCACTACAGCATATATTCATGCCAACAGCAAGAATATATAAACATTAAGGTAATAATGATAATGATGATGATAATGATAATCATAACAATAATAACAATAATTGCACATTATATAAACT